TATTAAGGAATTATCATTATTTGTTTTGTCAAATGTATTAAAAACACTTTCAAAGAAAAATGTAGATGCTACAATAGAATTATCAGTGTGTACATAATTCAAAATTTGAGATGATAGACACAAGATGTCGTCATCATTTAATTTTCCGTTTTTAACACGATAAATTGGATCTGTCTCTATAATTGTTTCCGTTTCATAACATAAAAACGTTTTTTTATCCAAATCAAATGAAATATCACTGAAATTATTATTGCAGTCTATTATTTGGTTGGTTTTTTGTGTTTCCTCTATTAAAGACTTACAACTTGATAATTGTGTATTATTTATTATTGATATTTCATTTTCTACTGACTTGTGACTATTGTTATTCGTTTGACATGTTTTCCCGATTAAATGGTGTATATCTTCTATAGAAGTTTTGAGTGAAGAAAATTCCCTTTTTAAAAATAACAAATTTTCATCTGTTCTTTGTACCGTTTGTCGCATATTTTCTTCACTGAACAAATTGAAATAATAATTTTCAACTTTTTCTTTTTTCTTTTTAATAATTCACTTGAAAATTTATCAATTTCACTCAATTTAAATTCGGGAATAGAATTGTCAATTTGACTATTTTTTGACTTTTTAATAAAATTATTCAGAATTGAATCATTGTCAATCGTCTCACACTTTGATATTTCATTCAGGTTGTCCATTTCTTTCTCAATAAATACATACAATTCTTCATCGTTATGTTTAAAAGATGGAATTGTTTTAGAAAAATCAATAACTGGTTTTCTTGGCAATAAAAAATTATAACAAGTTAATGCAATTCTGACGAGATAGCCAAAGTCTTCTTTGTTGAATCCAAAAACTGATCTAAAAATACGAAATTGATTTGTCAAAGACGCAAAAACGTGTTCCACGACATTCCTTGACTTGGAATGGACTTTGTTAAACTTGTGATAATAATCACGTTTTTCTTCGCATATTTCACTTTTTGCGTTTTTAATTGGAACATTAATATAATCTTCATCTTTTCTCAAATATCCCAAATCTCCCAAAATAAATTCACCGGGTTTAACCATTGATCTGTTACAACTGTGCAATTTTGAATCGTTTATTGAACCTTCACAAACATTTGAATCCAAAACAAATCCTTGTACGTTCACTTTAATTTTAATTTTCATTCCCGAACCATTTATTTTTTTGGAATACAATTTTTCTCTCACTTTTCCATTTTTTGTTAAAATACAATTTGAATCTGTTGTTTTAAAATCGATTGCCCAGTAACTGTTAATTAATTCTGGCATTATTTTCAAATCTTTAACTTTTTTACCAAGTGCAAATGGAATCAACACATTTGGACTATTTCCCAATTTAACTACCATTTTTTCATAAATTGTCTCGCCAAAGTGATTTTTAAAGTCGTGGTATTGTTTAGATACATAATTTGACATATTCTTTTTCATTCTCAAAATGTATTCTTCCTCTGTTTCTATTCTTTTCATTTTTTCGAAACACACTTCCCCTCGTTTTGAAAAATGACAAAACCTTTCTAAACGCAATAACACAAAAGTCAACAAATAGTTTAATCCGAATCTCAGTATAACTAAAACGAGAAATGTCAAAGATTTGAATGAAAGTGACGCATTTTTATTTCTTTTTCCAAAAATTGTAGATTTTTCCACTGAAAAATAACAACACTTTCTAACATCTGGAGAACCTACAAAAGTAACTTGCGATGATGTAATCAGTTTGTAATACTTTTCAAATTCGCGTTTACTCATTCCAATATAAAAATAGTAACTTTCATCATTTTCTGCAATTTCGTCCATTATTTCTTTATTTTGAATGTTATCACATTCATCTTCAAGTGTTTCACCAGAAATTGAAAATAAATTGCAATTTTCTAGTTTTGTGTAATTGTTGTATTTTTCTTCTTTTGAAATGACAGTCAAAGGCGGGCAAAAACAATTACTCAACACAAACAAATCATCTGGTTCAATAACATGTTCATCATCAAAAGGCATTTTATCATAAGCAATTTGTTTATGTGTAAGCACATAATCTATTTAAGGAATTGTTTGAGTTGCTAATTTATATTTTTTCTTTTTTCTTGATCCTTTTTTATCTTTTTCGTTTTTTGAACATTCTTTAATTTTTTCTTTATGTTTGTTTGCTTAGTTTTTTTGTCGATAAAATCTTTTTCAACATTTTCACTTTTTTTAATTGATATTTTTGTATTTTTTTGTTGTTTTATTGAAGATTTTACAATTTTTTCGGATATTGTTTTTTCGATTTTTTCATTGTTGTGTACATTCACTTTCGGTTCTGTTTTACTAGAAACTAAAGAAGGAAATTCAACTAAATCGAAATCAAAATCATCTTTAAATGGATTTTTAAAAATCTTTTGTGTTGGCAAGTCTCTTTTCATTGAAATACAAGTTTTAACAAACAACTATAAATAATATGAATACTATTTTTTGTTTATTAGATAAAATTACATTTATATTCGAC